AGGTGGATGAGTGGCTTTACCCTTAGAGATAGGATACGAAATGAGCATATATGTGAAAAGGTTGGAGTAGCTCTAGTAGAAGATAAGATTAGAGAGAGTCGCCTTAGATGGTTTGGTCACATAAAACGGCGGCCTTCCAATGACCCGGTTAGGAGAGTAGAGGTTTTAGATTTGACTTATGTTAAGAAAGGTAGAGGCAGACCTAAAAAGATTTGGTTAGAAAATATTAGGAATGATCTTTCTTTATTGGATTTAAACGAGAATTTGACCTTTAATAGGACACAATGGAGAAAAAAGATTCATGTAGCCAACCCCACGTAGTGGGATAAAGGCTTGATGTTGTTGTTGTTATTGTTGGTAATCTGAAGGAGAGAGTCCACCTTTTTATAACTGGGAAGTGAGTTGAAGGATATCGGGAGATATAAGGGCTTCCTTCTTTAAATCATTGATTAATGAATAAGAGAAATTAGTGAGTGTTGAGACTGAAAATAAGGCAAATAGAGAAGGAACTTTATCTTCGGGTAATTGTGATAAGGAATCAATAAATGTATTTGATTTACCTAGTTTATATTCAATGTTGAAATTAAAGCCTAAGGGTTTGCAAATATAATATGAATAGAAAACCAAAATTAAAGCATATAGTATAGTTTATGTTATACTTTCTTTTTAAGATATCCAATAAATATATTATACTGCAAATGTATCTTCCTTCATGATAGAATCCAATCTTTTCCAATTTGAATTAGCCAGTGACGTTTCTTTTTTGTTGTTTATCTTTATTTCAAAGAGGCCTAGTTAACCAATGTAACATTAGTAAGGGATAAGTCAAGTTAACTGGGTCGCATGTATGAATTTAAGGCTTTAGATTTATTAATACCACTCTGCATCATGTGGAGATCTATTTAGTTTCACGAAACAATTTAAAAACATAAATTTCATACAAATAGCATAGTCATGACTAACTCCATATAAATTCACACTAAATATTCCTTGTGTCATTTATTCCAAATGCTTCACCATCAACCTTTCAAGAATGGCCTTATTTAAGTGTGCATCAGTTGACATGTATTACTTGTTAAGCTGATTAAGAGGGCATTGGAGAACCAAGAGCACGGATGGGAAAGGTTGAATCATCCATATCCAACTTATGGAATAAATCAAGAGAAATAACTACCAAAAACTCCATAAATTGGTTGAATTTTTGAGGTTTTGTTTGCAATTGAAGCATGAGGATGGTATAAATACCCAAGCAAGAAATTTGATTTAAAGTAGGAAAATATTTCGAGCAAGTACTTCAATCAACAGGTGGTAGGATGGCTCCTTGACGAAAATGCATACTGAAGAGCAAGGCAAGCATGTTGAAAGAGAGCTTGAAGGTGTTAGCTAATTGTTCAAGTGACTGAATAGCAATAGTGTTAAAACGGCAAAACGGGGTAACCTGTCTTCTATAAATCAAATGTGTTTAAATTGCAAAGCATAAGATCTTTTCTGCACCATCAGACTAATATAAAGCAAAGAATATGTGCAACTATTATTAATAACTCTGAGACTCTCAGAAAAAAATGTGACCCTGTTGAACACAAATGAGAAAACTCTAGCTTGCTCCTTCGCGCATGCAGATCTATAAGTATCTTGGATAAAGTACAACGTATAAGAGGTTGCTAACATACAAAGAGTCAAACCAGGCAGCTCAATGTAAGGCCACATTCCATTTCATGCATCAGGCTAGTACCGACCTTGAGCATCCGTGCACAAAAAGCCATCAAAGGATATCGTATGTGATACTCAGTTTAATTGATTGCTAAATTCTCTGTTCTTGAAAGTACTTCATTTACACAGGAATAGAACATATCATTTTGCAATTTGCATGCTTGTACAACTAACAACGCATGATTAACAAACAGCAAAAGTAATAGCCCGTGGAAAAAAACTAGAAGAAAAGACAAACTAGTTATAGTTTAACAAACTTCATAGAATAAAGCAATACTCAGAAAAGTTCATTTTACCTGTTCATTCTGCAAAGGAATGGAAGATCAAGGACCGTTCCACTATGACAGGCATCTATTATGGCATGAAGCCTAACACCATGAGGGAGTGGCCTAACAATAGTGGCGTTTATCTCATCATCAACAATCATCCCCTGAGTTTCAAAGTCCAGAGGACAAATAGTTTCATCATATCCATCAGCCTCATCTCCGTTATAATTTCTCTGCTGTGATCCATGCCCTGAGTAGTGAAACACCAAGGAGTCCCCAGGTTGACAACCCTGTACAAGCCAGTACAACGCCATCCTTATGTTGTGTTTGGTCGGAATTTTGTACGGATCGGTTTGATCTTCTGCAAAATCTCTTCCATAATGAAGCAATCATTAGCATAAAGCCATCGCGGAAACAACGAAACGAGGTTCGAAATGCGGGATTAGGGCACCTGTGAGTTCGATGATGGAGGACTCGGGGAAGTGGAATCGGTTAATAAGGAGATACTTCATGCAGTTGGCATCGTTTATGCAACCCTTGAGCTCGTGCCGGGAGTACCGATACGAGATCCCGACGATCACCGCCCGCTTCCGGCCGTGAGGCGATGGCGGAACGATGGATTGCGGCGGCGGAGGGGGGCGATGCGGCGGCGGAGATGCGGAGGGATGGCTGCTTTGGGATGGCGGGGGTAGGCTGCGGGGATCGGCGATTTGGGTGACGGTACGGCATATGGCGCAGCGGATTGATTTAGCCCCGGGCGGGAGCTGAAGAGGCGTCCGGCAACCAGAGCAGTCTACAAGCATCATCATGGCCGGAATTCAGCGGTGATCGACTCCGGCGAGGTCTAGAAGATGGGATTCGATCAGCTTCGGGGATCGCAGCGGGGGTGGAACTTTGACGCGGGGCGTGGGAACAGGATTTCGGTAGGAAAGGGCAGTTGGGTTTTATGATTCTTCCGGTAGCAGCACGAGTAGAAATTATTAGGTTCGGATCTAACTTAAACAAATTTGGGAGAGATTATTAGGTGTGTAGTGCAATGAGGAGAATCGTCTGTTTAAGTATTGGGTATCTAATTAGGTACCACTCAGTGATGTTGGGTATCCAGTATTTGTACGGACAGTACGCACTTTGCACCTAATAATTTTTCTAAATTTGAGGAATTTTCTCCCGTTCAAAAAAAAAAAAAAGATTTTCATACCTAACGTTTTATTTTATATTATTTATATATATAATATATAAAATATTAATATTATATGACTAATTCCATAAAACAAATATGAGTGTATGAAATCAAATATTAAAATATATAAGATGATATTAGTGATATGAGTGATACATAAGAATAGTATATTTGATATTAAAGCTGTATATAATATACATATAATATTAATATTTTAGATGTTAGATATATAAATAACATGAAATAAAATTGTATGTATGTAAATCCCCCTATATCTTATTGAGTGCCACATAATATTTTATCATGTAACTAAAAATTCAAAAAATAAATAAATAATAAAAAATAGATATTTACTCACAATCCTATGAACACAAATAAGACAGTCAAGGAAGTGGGCTCAATCATCTATAATATTTCATTTTAGAATGAAATAAATATTATTGAGCCTATTATTATTATTTATTTATTTAGTTATTGAGCCTATTAAATTTCCTTCTTCTAAAATTCATAAATTATATTGGCAGCTATTATTTATTTCTCTAAATAAGAAAAAACATATATATATCTACTTAGAGAAGTGAAAGCAAATAATGTATTTTTTTTTAGAGATTGTTTCATTTATTGATTTGGTATTCTATGATGGATTTTTTTTTATAATAAAATCATATTTAAAAGCTCTAAAATTATAGTATTTATTTGTCATCATTGATTGATGATACTTAATAAAAATTCATACTTTAATAATAATGATACTTTCGCAATGATTTAAAGATTTAAATATTATATAAATAAATATGAATATTTATGTATTAAATATGTAATTAAGAGTTTTGTGGTATGTAGGTAAATCTCCAAATTAAAATTTTATTTTTAAAGTCATTATTTAAAAATGCTAAGCAAAAAAATTGGCATTTTTTAATAATCTAAATTGGACATTGCATAACAAATTTATGAACCAATGGCATGATTCAATCTACACCATCTCCTCAAACGAATTATACCATTTTATTAAGAACCTGGTGGCGGAGCCGGCGCCGTAGGCTGGTCACCGGCTACACCATACCCTTGCACCACCTCAACCCCTCCGCCGCCGCCCCCGCCTCCAAACCCCCCCGATCCATCCTCCTCTCCCCACCACCCCATCCCCGGCGGCTGGCCCACATACATCCCCGTTGCCCCCATAGTCGAATAATAGTACGGAACCCCAGCCGCTGCCGCTCCTTCACCTCCAAGCGGCGCCGCCGCCACAACCTCCTTAATATCCTCCCGCGGCACAATATCTACAAGAAAGTCAAATATGTCGGTGCGGGTGATGGCGGCGGCGATGTCGTTCTTCTGCAGAGTGCGGCGCTTGTTCTCCTCCGCGTGGATCCATGAACGGATGGTGAGTTCGAGGATGAAGAGCTCGCACGCCTTGGCGAAAAGTATGGGGGCTTCAGCGGAGATCATGCGGACGTCCTCGTCGGCCTTCATGATCTTCTTTATGCGGGCGAGGGGGAGCTGGTGGTTCTTGAAGTCGCCGGCTTGCTCCATTTCCTGGCGCTGGTAGGTCCAGAACATGTGGAGCTGTTGGTGCTGTTGTTGCAGTAGCTGGTGGAAGGAGGTTTGGGGTTGAGGGTAACCTTGCGCTGATGATGATCCTGCTTGCTGGTTCTGTTCCATTTGATCTTAGAGAGCTTGCTAAAAAAAATTATTTCAAAATATCGAAAAAAAAAATATTTATTATTGTTGCATTTCAAAATTTATTTCGCACTAATTTAAAATAAATCTAATAATAACACTGTTGTTGCAAGATTCGAAGTCCTGAGGAGAAAATAAATGTTGCGTTAGATAGTCTACAAATAGTATAAAATTTTTTGAATAATTATAATATGAATCTTTTCATATATTATGTTAAAATAAATATAAGTGGATTTACATACTTATCATTTTATACAATCTAATTTATATATTCAACATCTAAAACTTTAATATTACACATATATCAAATATGTCACTCATATTTCATTTCTATCGCTCATATTTGATATGAATGTGAACTTTGTATGGTATATATGTAATATTAAAATTTAAGTGTTAGATATATAAATAATATAGTATAGGTTGTATGTATGTAAATCTCCTATAAATCTAATATTTTTCAAGCGGACTTGATATAATTTGTATTAGGATATTCTGATACAACTTATTTATTTTATGAGAATTTTAATGAGATAGATACTTTATATGATTATAAAAAAATTTTAATGTAAGAATATGCATGTTTATATGTTTTATATTATCATGGGCTTCAAAGCCCTTGATTTTGCGTTGTTATTAGTGCAACTGCGTGATATAACATGTAGCACTAATTTCGGAATAAATCCAACGACTTTAAAGTGTATCCTGATACAAATTGAACGGGATATTCTCTTGTAATTTTTTTTAATATGATTATATTATGAAAGGAAAAAATTGTATTAGGATATCCTATACAATCATATCAGGATGGGCTTAAAGTCATTGGATCTACTTTGTGATTAGTGCTACAAATAAATAGTTTATATTATACTAATTTTAAAATAAATGCAATGATTTTCAAGCTCATTTTGCTATTATTTATAAGAGGATAAAGTGTTCATCATAAAATTTCTTTTCATATTAGTAGTTTCTTATAAAAAACTTATAAATAATTCCCAATATGATTTTGTTGGATTGTATGTAGGGTTGTTTGAGGGACGAGGAATGTAGCACATGGAGCGACCCCAGATCATGAGGAGCAATTAATTTTATTTTTTGTTTAATTTTTGTACTAAAAAACTGCCGTAAGAAACAGCAAAAAAACTGTCCCTAACAAAATTTCGTTTGTGACAGCTTTCTTGTGACTTTTTAAAACTATTTTTTAGTACAATAATATCTAATTAAAAAAAAAAACTACTTTAGAAAGCATCAAGACAATTATCCCGAACCAACCTAAGAAATACATATAACATAACACTTCTGAGTTTTTCAATGCCTCAGAATTTTAGTTTGTCCAAACACCAAAATGTTTTAAATGCTAGTTAAATAAAATATATTCCAAACAGTTCTATACCCAACTTGCAATCTAAGTACGTAGAAAACCACTTGAACTGCAAAACAAAACAATAAACTTTAAGCAAAGTGAAAATATTTAGCAAACCGAAAAACCCATAGAAGATTATGGAAAAAAATATCGTTTAGCACATCGATGAGACGCCCTCTCAGCATTCTAAGCATAATTTAGGCGAAGTTATCTGGAGAATTTTTCCCTTTGGTTGTTATGCTGCTCAGTTTCATCTATCTGTGAGAGAAAGAGAGAGAGAGAAAGAGAGAAAGTACAAGTTCGATTGCTGCTAAGTTTCAGTCGTTGAGAGGCCTAATAGAAAATGTAAGGTACGGGAAGGTTACTTTGGAGGGTGTGGTTTTCCAAAAAAGTCTACTCTATCTTGGCGGCATAACTAATTCATCGGCGAAACCTAGCAAGGCCACCAACCTGCATCGGGCTCACACTTGCTTTGCCCCACTGAAGAGGCGAAACTGTAGTAGAAAGTATTCAAACCCAGTATGGGGGTTCCCAACCATGCTCACCCACCAACCACCCTAAGCATCGGTGAGTCTCCTATCTTTCTAAATGATATAGCTCATCTTGATATATTGGTTAGACTCTCAACCAAAAGGTCTTGAGCTTGAAAATTTGTATGTATATATATGTGTTTATAATTAAATTTATTCAAAATTCATGAAGAGTAAAAACGAATTCCTTTGAAGAGACTTAAAAAAGGCTTACAGAAAGTTATACAGATAGGGCATTCAATTACTTGAGCTCATTTCATTTCAACTTTGTTTACTTAAAATTTCTTCTAGTTGTCTTAAAGAAACAACTGCAGAAAAATAGCAGACAATGTAACTTTGAGCCTGAATAATGGAAGGAGCTCCTTCTTACCTGAACGAATTCAAATTCTACGCAAGTATTGACATCCTGAAGAGCTATCTTCTTTTATGAAGTGGAATTGAAGCGTAGAAGGCTTATAAGAGTGGAGAACACTCAGTGAGGAATTAAGCTTGCTGAGGAAGGCAATAAAAGAGAAGGAGAGGAGTGAGACAGGAGAAGAAAAGAAGATAAGATGAGGGAGAAATAAGTGAACCTTATCTTAATTGAGAGATAGCTTGTGCTGATAGTGAGGGAATGAGATTTTTGTATCTTTTTTTTAATGGAGGACTGAAGGAGACTTGAGTGGTGGTGAAAAAAAAAAAGAGAGGAGAGCAGTAGAATGGCTTAATTGGATGGGGGTGAGAGGTACTTGAAGTTGGGTTTCATAGGAGGATTTAGAAAAAAAGAAGCCATTAAAGAAAAATATGGAGGTTCTAAGTTTGAAGGATTGATAAACTTAAATCAATTTCCAATTGGATTATTAAATCAATAAAAAATATTTAATTTTTTATATTGATGGTATTCTATCATTAGCACACATAAAAGTGGTTAAGGTGTGAAATAGAAAAATTTATTATGTGCGGATGTTGAACTGGAGACTAGTTAGAATGTGCCACGTCACCCCTTCACTCGGTATCGCTGACGTGGCTGCACCTGATTTGCCTCCGAACTTAGAGCTACGTTCGGCCTCCACACAGAATAATTTTTCGTGAAATAGAGGCTATATTTATTTTCAATAGATTGGAGGAAATGATAAAACATGCATTTTTGCTTTAAAATTATCTAAGAAATTTATCTAAGAAAATATGAATAAATGATTTTTTCTTATTGGAAAATTTCTACCCAATCATAATATAAATAATATAGAATTTTATGATGCCATCTTTATTGCTCACATTTCCCCCTTCTTAAAAACAAAAACTTAGAACATATCTGGAGTCACTTTTATTTTTTGAAAAAATACTGATTACATGTCCGGAGGGATAATTAACTATAGGGGCTTGCGCCTATAGGAAACCAGAACTCAGATCAAAAAGTCCTCACCAAATGAGGGCAAAATCTCTGGGTAGTGTCTTATCTAAAATCCAATCTGCCTTCTGAAAATTCCCTCGGAACCTAATCTAGTTAAAACTCTCTATCGTCGTCGTCACACAAATACTTAAAAGAAAAATTGACTGATGACGTGGAGAGGAGAGGCCGAGAACACACATACCAAAATGGAATTTTTCAGCCCACACCGCAGTACAAAACGAAGGGGTGATGTGACACATTGTGATTCTGCATCCGCAAGATCATAAAAAGCTAAAACAGTAAAACAAAACTAAAGATTTGACACAAGCAAATTAATAATCAACCATAGCAGGTTTTACACACGCTCCTTGTCTACAGCTACTGAAAAATAAACAATAACATGATTATGAATTCGTAAGCTCATAACTAAACACTTGAATGAGGGTTAAAAAGAGGCTTTCCCATTCTGTAGAGCACTTATCTTGCTTCCATAGCCCTCAATCAGGGCTTGTGAATTTTGAAGCCAAAAACTCTGGGAATGTATCGCTGGGAGGCCTTCTGGGGCTTCAGGTGAGGGTACGTCATTAAGAACAGGTGAGGAAATGTTGTCCCGAAATAAGCTCCATCAATGTCTACAAACAGTCAAGAACTTTTCTCAACACAAAGACCAGCAATGAGAGAAAATATAAGTAAATTATACCCAACGAATAAGACGGGAAAAACAGAGAGAGGGACGATGAAAACCAAACTGATGGAGAGAATAAGATTCCATCAAAACACACAAAAGTTGTTTTGTCAGAAAGGTAAGCATCACATTTTATCTTTTTGCACCAACAACAACATCTTTTTGCACCAAGCAGAAAAAATTCGTTAATTCTTCTTCTGTTATGCAGAAAGTGAAAAGAGGAAATAAGCTCTAAAAGCATCCATAATCTCGGTAAAAAACCTGCTTTATTTGTTCAAAGCTCATATCTTGATTACTTAAAAAGGGATTAGCAAGGTTGTTTTGGTAAATCAAAATTAGTATTATCCCAACTATTTATGATCAAGTTTTTAAATCCTCATTTACCAATTGCTCTAGCTACTAGCTGTTTTAAATCTATTCTTCACAGTTCATTTCAAACTTTTCTAGATCTGTCTTTTCATCTTCAAATCCCTCAGCAATAATTATCCGTTCGATATTTAAAAGCATTTTCCTACCACCTAAATCTATTTTAAATTATCATATCTTGAATATATGTCACTCTAACAATCATTATTTAATTTGTTATTTCTAATCTGGCCAGAAATACATGCTAAAACTTAGACCCATTTCATAATATGTCTAATGCTGTGTTATTTTCTATCGTGTTGTGTCGTATTGTCAAGTTGGATGATGGTTTGGTAAAATTGAGGTTAAGATTTCATTTGGGATGACTTTCTTATTGTTTCTTAAACCAGCTTTTTAATTTTAAAATTAAAATTTTTATACTAGAAAGCAACTTTAAGAAGCAATAAAAAAGCTGTCCCAAACGAAACCTAATTTTGCTTTTTGAACAGTTTGGATAGATAAACGTTGCTTGATTCAGAAAGCTATGAAGCAACATGAATTTATTAAAAGACAAAATAAACAAGATTAGTAGTTAACAAATAATATCAATTATATTCAGATTAAAACTAATTAATAACATCAAAAAAAAAATTTCATGCATCAGTTCACTAAACTTTACTAAAAGCCTATAAATTAGTTATGTCATCTTAAAATGCATAATCAATTAAAATAAAATCAATGTAAAACATTGCCTTAGATATCAATTAAGACAAATCATAACAATAATAAAAAAAAACAACAGAGATGCATATATTTTATTAATCAAAGAAGACACAAAGCTTTAAAGAAGAAAGGATACTGCCTTGGTTCTTGATTCTTGGGTAATAAACATCTTCACACTTGGGACAAAATATTTTCACAGTACTGGATCGAGAGATGTCTGATTGACCAACCGGAAGGCAGGGTTGACCACAGCAATAAACCCTAGGGCATCTTCCAAAATCATAGTTCTTGTACTTCTCTAACTGCATATGTAAATTTTGGAGAATAAGTATAGTATATCTGCTGGTACGGATGACCGAAAAGCTCGAGGAATAAGATATCTCACCATTGCAGCCATTCCTTTACCAGTCAAAATGTAGCGAGCATGGATCAGGCCATACAGCATCTCTGCTGCAGACTCAACTAACTCATTTTGTTCCTCAGTGAACATATCACCTACAAAAATTGCACACAACAGAACTATCATTGTTTAGGGTTTTGACATTTTTAGAATTACGAAGAGAACTGACTTTTTAAAGCATTGAAAGTCGACTGTTAATAGTTCAACCCATTTGAGAACCAAATCTCCTTAAAGTTATGATATGGCTACAAATTTCGAAAAACCTAGGTCACCAGTTCATAACATACACTAAAGTGGTGCATAAATATGGCATACTTTTGCACTAAAAATGGAGCAGAAACCGAACAGTAACCATAAAAATTTGCGCAAGTATAAATCAAAATCTACAAGTTCCACCCAATCTCAATAATTCTGGTACATGAAACCCAAAAGCCAAAGCTACAACTGATATTTATGATTACAATAACACATCAAGACATACACTATAGATCAATAGATGCGAGTAAAAAAAAATCTCCTCCAGTATTGCACCAGAGGTCTTCTAGCAGAATGCAATCAAGTAATTAAGGTTTCGTTTGAGACAGCTTTGAAACCACTGTTTTTTCATTAGTTTCAAGAAATTTTTGTACTAGAAAATTGTTTTAGAAAGCAGTAAGAAAATTGCCCCAAACGAAACTATAAATAAAAAGCATGTAAATAAGCTGCAAAAAATGAATCCAAATGAACATTACAACTATAACAAATCAGGGGAAAAACAACATACGGAAAAGATTATTAGAAAGAGTCATAAAGCAAAAGCTTGAAACGAAAATTCATTCACCTTCTAGGTTTAGATGTACTTTATAAGCTAAGGAATCTGAACATGGAAATGCAATTTTACGAGTTCAAAGTATTAACACCACATACCAAGTTGAATGAAGGGAAAAAAAAAATCCTTTCAATTTAAAAATGGCAAAATAATTTGAGTTATTCTGGTGTAAATAAACAAGACAGAGGATGGTAACATAATGTTCACACCTGAAATATATTAAGCTCAAACTAAACATTCAAAATCTTTTAAATGAACCAACAAAATGAACAAAACAAGCACTGTGGCAAACCTGATAGAACAAACTTTTAGAGGTAGCACTAATATTTCGCAACTCTCTAGCCAGAAAGAAAAAATACACACACTGAACAGAATGAGAAGGTACTTCCTTATGATCTACTGGACAACAAAACTACAATTTTTAAATAGGCAAATCACAAATCCTGAAAATTTGTTACTCCTTTTCGGTGGAAAAGGCTAAAATGACTCTACTTATGAGTTGTTGGTAGGAATGGTTTCCAATATTTCCTCAGAAACCAAGCTAAGACGTCAAAGAATAATCTTTGGGCTTTATTTCTCTAGATTTCTTTTATTACGTTTCCTGTTGCCACAAAGAACTGTTGGAGTGTGCCAAAGGATGCCAACTGACCGCCTTGAATTCATCGAACTGCCTAAGGCACATGTTTTAAATCCAGAAATCTATTTTAGGATTATTCTTCTTGCTAACATTCAAAAACCACATTCATGCCCAGCATTAGGAGAAGGGATTTTGATCAATTTTCTCTCTCTTTATAATCATGTTCTCCTCCATTGCTAACACCAGTATCGAGAATCCATATCTCAGCATGTTTCTTCAATCAGGGCCCAATCTTCCGTTTCTTTCAAGTTTCATTGATAGCTTCTAAATACTGGAGATTTAGGTCTGTTAATTGAGACATTAGCACCTTAATGTCAAAAGCAACCTAGAAATGTGCAGCACAACTTGGGAGCTTTATGCTTGTTTGAGGAACTCAATTTCAGATATAAGCACCTTGGATAGACTTGATAGTTCCCTGATTAGTGCAATCTCCTCTGACAAAAACTTAGTAATCTCAAGCATATTGCTAAAATGATTTTTTCTAAAACTGCTTTTGCTTGTTATATGATATGCAAAAGTTTTCGGAGTCATTTGCTTCGCACCTTTGGCCACACCTTAATAAGCTTGGATAATAAGCAGATGCTCAACACCAATTTGACAATCTTAGGCTCTGACCTCCTTATTCTAGAAAATTCTTAATGAGGTAAGAGTCGAGGCAGACCACGACCCGTCAAGGAAACAAACTTCTTCATCTCAGGCTTCTTAGATGACGCCCTTTGCCTGGTGCTCATGACACGCTACGGAACCTCCACCATGCCGGTACGGACAAAGCAGGGCATAGTTAGCGGCATAGGAGCTTACTCAGTATTAGCGCCTTCGTGCCGCACTGGAGTAATTCAATATGTGGTTCCGCACGTTCCACCACTTCCCCGTTCATTTCCAATAGTGATGCTATCAAATATTATGTACTTTTATTTTATGTTTTTTTTTTCTTTTTTAGCTATCCAATGATCATGGTAGGTTGTGCTTGGGGCTTGGTAGACCTTTGGTTTGCTAGCTTGATTGGTCCTTGGCTGCTGCTGGTTCACGGGTTGGCTTATGGTCCACGGTTTTGGGCTTATGATGATGATTGGAAGGAGGTGGTTCATTGGTGTTGAGCTTTAATTACTAAGTTGCTAGCTCATTAATCTTCTAAGGTAAGCTCATAAGTTGGATTCATTGTGGAGTGGTCTAGTCTCTTCTCCTCCCCTTTTCTTCTTAAAAATATGAGCTTGTCCCTTGGGTTCCTATGCTGGCTGGCTGTTTCCGTGCCTTTGTCCTGTGGGTTTCTGTGGCTGGCTATTAGTTTTCTGTGCTGGGTGGTTTTCCCGTGCCTGGTTCTTGCGGCTGCCTCTTCGGGTTCCGCCTGGGCTGTTTTCCCGTAGCTGTTGTGGGGCTTTTCCGTAGCTTTGGTGCTTTGTTTCCTGTGTAGAATTGGTGAATATTATAAGGTGGCTGTTGTCTTTTCATTTCCCTCATTAAATTAAGAATATGAAGGTTTTTTGGGCTGTTTGGTTTCTCCTCTCTTGCCTATAAATATGAGATGATTTGAGAGGGAATGGGAGTTGAATATTGAGAGCAAATTTGCTATAAACCTGCGGGTTCTTCTTGGGAAAGCTTGCGAGCTTGTTCCATTCTCCTTCTCCTCTAGGAAAGCTTGCGAGCTTCTCCTCTTTCGTCTTGGCTTCTTACATCTTTCGTCTCTCCGCAAGTTCCACTCCATTTGTATCCTTCTTCTTGAGCTTTGGTGATGTTTGCTGGCTGATTTGGGAGCATTTGCTGGAGGAGTTTAAATTGGACGGTTGGACGATCTTGCTGTGGTGGACCATCGGTTTGCTAGCCCTAAGCACTTATCTTACTTTAACCTACATTTCAATGCATGGAGGAACCCGCTCTGACGGTTGTCTGAGGATAGCATTTTTTTTATTTTCTTTGTTTCTTTGATTTTCTTCTAGAATTTTTCGTCGGATTTTGGATGTTATAGATGATTGCTACTATTTGAATCGAGTCTGGTTAAGTTCTGCACATTGTTCTCCTTGTTTTGGCTTTTCTAACTAGTGTGCTTACATCAAATAGTGATCGTGAAACACCATGAGGAGCAGGGTATATCTATCCATATTCAATTGTCATGATTTTATTACATAAATTAAGACTTCATTTGCTTTTTTTATGCAATTTTTTCTTCATTTGTCCAGATCTTTCTCTCATAGAGGGTAGCATATGGCAATTCTACTTATTAAACTTCCTTCTAGCATATTTTCTCACAACACATGTTGATTCTACTTATTAAACTTTCTTCTAGCATATTTCCTAGTCCATTTTTTAAATTCTATAGTGTTGGCGATAAATAATAATGCACTATTATGATATATCATTGTTATCATGATATCCAATTTTCTTTAATGTGAAAAAAATTTGTGATGTTAATTTCTTCTTATTTTTTGTAGAAAAAAAGACCATGAGAGGATTTCTCTGTCTATGAATAATCTATCGTGAGCTTTTTTTTTCTTATATCTAGGATTTTAGGTTATAGTTTTTCCTTTTTGTAAATTTTTTTACATAGATTAAAATTTTAATTTATCGTAGAAAAACAGTCTATGCAACATTTAGTTCAAAATATTTTTTACAAGGTGGGTTAGTTTTAAAAAAAGGAACAATCACCATCTCCATTCACCTCTAAGAATATTTGAGCTTTGACAACTTAATGAAACCGGTTCTGGATTGCCGGTTCAATAATATTATTTTTTATTTAAATAAAATTTTTAATATTAATTTTTATATAATTACATATTTTTAAATTTTAAATATATATTTAAAGACATATGCATTTGTAAATAAATTTAACCAGAGTATATAATTCCTAGCTTGCCACATCATGCACCTTTATTTGTTTCTTGTGGTTTGTGCTTTATACTATATAAAGAAAACTATTAAAAATTCTACTATAAAGCAAGACTAAAAATAAGTCAGAATTCTATATGAGCTAAACTATGATATTATTTGGGTTGCAAATTTGGTATGAGAATTATAATTTATAAAAATTAGGCACATTAGTGTTTTTATATTATAAAATTTATATAATATATTATTATTTTATTAAAAACTATATTTATATTATGAAACTTTTTTAATTTTAAAACATATTTAATATGCATATAATTATATTTGTAATATAAATATATTTATATTCATACTAATGGTCAATCAAGCTTCTTAATAAGCTTTATGTTGAGTTTTTAATCAAAGTAGTTATGTATTCTTTATTAAAATTTTAATTATTACCTAATCCATATTATATTTGCATAATTTTAGTATTTATTAGTGATCTGGTTCGACCCCGGTGGAACAATCGAACAGTGAACCTCTCCTATTTGTTCGTTGTGCGGTCTGACTTTCACAACCTTGCTAGGTAGATATATGAATAAGAAAAATGTAGAATCAGTGGATGCAATTTTTGGCAACTAGCTTTTTCAGTCATGATGAGGCCCAAATTCATAGGCTTAGATCCTTCCTAGCCAAGAGCCAACAATAAAGACATTGCAAATTCATGCACCTCAAGATAACATAACTAAAACTATAATGCCGCACCTCAACTTATGCAGTTGTATAGGAAGATTCGAATACAACAGAAATAAAAGAGAAGAATATTTTCACAACAAAACATGGTTCAA